TATGTACTGTTGTAAAATATAATTAACTCTTGTGTTTTTTTAATGCGTCCTATAGTATATAAAGCATGTGTTGTTCAATAAAATGATGCATTTATTTTGAGATTTTGAATGAATATCTGTATACATGTATCTTATGGAAATGGTTTCCCTCGTTGCGAAAAGTTTGACTTTGAAAATCATATCTTTTTCGCATTGAGTTTAAAGAGTAGGAAGAAACATTCAAGTTCTGTTTTTTATGTTTTGTTTCCTCTCCTTTTTTGAATTTACTGGAAAAAAAATTACTATTGAGTACCATTGATTTGAAGTGTGCTTCGTATGCTTCCAAATTCTCTTATTTTTGGAAAGAATACTCTATTTGATATATTCTAATAAATTTTATATTCAGTGAACATATTTCTTATTTGATTTCAGATCGAAATAAACAAACGATTGACCACAATCTGAACGACTATAAGTAAAATTAAAATAGAATCGGGAAAAATGACCTTTTTCTGTTATTTTCGTTGTCATTTTCTCATAGTTTCCTACAATGTATCAAGATCACTTGTTTGTGTTCATTAAAATATAATTAATATCCTGAAAGTTTCATCAACCTTGTTTATTTAACATGAAACACTAAAAGTTACATCTGCAAATATCCTTCAAATATACCTAGTACGTATAAAATATTATCTTTTTTATACTGTTATTTCTATATTATGTTGTTACTAGTATTGAATTTTGGATGTTTTAAATAGAAATAATAAAAGGGTTGAACTGCATTACATTCTAAATATTGTATTGTATTGCTTGTACCAATAAAATCATTGCTAATTAGACATATGTTCATACATCATAAAATTAATAGATAATATGTTATAGAATCCAGAAGGCTATATGGTTGTCTTAAACACGTTATTAGATAAAATTTATGATTATTTAGGCCTTAAACCATTAAGAGAGTCATTAAATTGCAAGATATAAACAAATCAGACAAAAAGTACTTCAATGCTCTTCTTCTGTCATATATACATTTTTAAGTCAATTTTTAAAGGTAAATTTTGGAAGAAGCAAATTCTTTTTGACGCTTTTTATAGTTAGTCTGTGTTTTACAATGAAGACGAGAGATACAATGTATTATTATTTTACATTTATATTAAACAATGGCGTATATGCTAGATAAACAGGGCTGTTTCATAACTTGCTTTTTAAGAAAAGAAGAAGAAAAAAATAAACACGTCATAATTAGAAAAATCTTACCTTTTTTACATTGCATATTAATCCTTTAATTAGATGATCTTTATACCTTAACTTCAAGCCAGAACTAGGTCAGTCTATAGGATGTTACACCCTTGAAAACAGAAAATTCAAATTACATGACTTGTGCGACTGTATCTGGAAGATAGAACATGTGTGATTTTGTGCAAGTTTTGAAATTTGTTTCATTTACTTTTACTCAATCAGCATGATTATAATGCATTATTTATCAAAATATATCATATTTACATGGCTTAACGTCATGCTATGCGTAATGCAGGGGATTTATTTTCATATTTTTGGATGTAATTTATATTATATACTGATTTCAAATTTTGGCTAAAAAAAGATGTTGAACATTTATGCAAGAAAAAACATGTGGATTCTTTGTATTTCAAATATATCAATCATTCATCCGTAATATGAGAGTTTGAAAAATAAAATTATGTCAACCTGGGAACACTTTATAATAGACACTTTACCTAATGTTTTGCTGATAACACTTTTGCAAAAATTAACTTAAACCTGTAAAATATATACATTGTATTTTAATTGATGTTTTTATCAGTATTTTTAAAATTAAAAGTGAATTGAGACTCACTGTAGCATTTTGAGCCCTGTATATATATAGTTTAACGAATCAATATGTATTAATAATTATATATGTATTGATAACAAAAGTGTCTTTTATACACATGGTTTGAAAAAGGTGTTTATTACGAATCACATTTTTACAATTAAACTAATCAAGTAATGTTTTATGAAGAGTTCTGTAATCAGTAGAATTTCTATCCACCATTCACCTTGTACTGTGGGATTATGAGCTGTATGGAGATAAGGAACAGCATTCAAGCTCAAAAGTCCATTAAACAATACAAATTTTGGAGCAGAGCAAACACGGACCTCTAAAACATCGGAGGTGGGATCAGGGATCAGATATAAAAGTATACAGAAATTAAGACTTGTATTACAATGCAAAGTTTATTGTTAACTACTGATTTTTTTACCCAAAGTTTTTTGCAAATAATAATAAAAAAAATTAAAAGTTGATAAGATTACTACACAGTTTATTTTTTAAAATATATTTAGAAAAAAAGCTATATCTAAAACAAAATGGGAAAAGAGATTAATTTAAATGTAAGTAGTAACTAGTGGAATACTATTACAAATGACATGCAAATTAGATGGTTCCAATATCGCACTATGTGCGGAATGTTTTGCTGTAAACACATTTGTACGTAGGATTGGAATCGTGTACTTTCTGTAATGTACATCCAGAAACATTTAGTCATTTACTTTTGGAATTTGAATACGTGAGACTTTGGAAAAATCATGTTTGGATGAAGGAACTCTCCGGAATTGACATTGAAATTACTTGATTAAATTGGACATTATTATTGGAAAACACTACAAGCTATTGCATTCTTTTCGGAATGCGCATCTGGCGCATCTAAATTGGTACCGTATATGATTTACATTCATACATTTTATACATTTCGTTCAAAGGAGCCAAAAGTGAAATTTTATACCATTTACTACTTTTGTATTATTAATTTGAGAAACATACAGAGAAAAAATATGTGAAATTGAGAAATTCGATAGAAAATGGAACTGTTTATCATTAGATACGCTGTAATTGTTTTGTTGAAGCCAAAACCCCTGCTGTATTACAATTATTAAATATTTAAACAACGAATTTTTTATCTAAGCTATATAATTATTTTTGCGTATACATCTTCATTGTAAGGTATGATTGATGTGTTAATGACTGGGAGTTTTTGTATATAAAAACTTCACCTACTTTCAGAAGATTTGTATTTGTTTAAAGAAATAAAGTTCTGAATATTAGATATTCATGTAAATTTGTTCAATCTGATTTGTCAAAAAACATGTTAAAATCATATATATATATACCCTCAGAACTCTCCGCCGTGATAAAACGTAGTAATATTCAACATTGCCTGAGGACGGGTGATATTCCAAAAAATATTGACTACGCAGAATTTATGCGTGAAAGTTTCACTGTTAAATGTTTTATGTATAAAACATACAGTATAATAAAGTCAATACTACATTAGTAGAGGAGAACATTGAAAATTTCACCCCTCGAAAACCATCGTCAATCTTGGTTGACAATGGATTTCTTGGGGTGAAAATTTTCAATGTTTCTCTCAACCACATGCAATATTTACAAATGTATATTATTTTATTACATGTATTGTCTATAAGAAAATTGTTGATCTGTTATTTCAGATGATTTTCCTGATGCAGAGAGTCCTATTACGGATGGAAGCTTTTTTTTTCAAGAAATGAAGAGTCACTTTTATCGTTTTCTGTTAAAGAAAAACGATCTTTATTTCAGGGGATTTTGATTAAAGGAACAAGGAAATATATATCATGAAATTTTCTGTTGCAAAAAAAAACAGCTTTAACACATTTTTTCTTAAACATTTTTTTTTTTTTTTTGTAAAAGAGATGGAGAGTCTTTTTGCGGCAGATTTCTATCACAGAAGATCTATGTTTAGATATGAGAGAAACAGTATCATAAAATTTATAAGGATGTAAAGAACCGATACTGCAAAATAAAGCGTTTCTAGATATTTCTTAGTCATAACTTCTTAGAATGTGATTATTTCCAATTGTTTTGAAATTGCTATTAATCCTATTCATAGTTAAGGAGCAACCAATATAAGAAAAGACTTAGATGTTAAACACGATTATGTCATTCAATATTTTTATTCTGATATAAGGTGAAAGAACAATGCAAGGACTTTATGTTTTGATAAAAATATCCAAGGCCAATATTATGCAAACTGTGGTTTTGTTGTATCACAAGTAGTTCTATTCGAGTTCTCTACCCAATTTCGCTCTTCTCTTTTCCTAATGAAGTGTTTGCATTCATTACATACATGTGTGGTCTCTGCAAATCAATGGGATAAAAACATTTTCATTTGAGTATATTTCTACTTTATTTGATGAATTATAAATTTATGGTTCAAAAAGCCAGGGTTTTGCTCAGAGAAAATCTTTTTAAGTTCTGTCTTTGGACGCCATCATGTCTTTCTATTGCATGATTTATGAAACATAATCCTGAATAAATCAAACATTTACAAATATAAATGACATTCATATTCCATTGAGTGTATGTTAGTATTTCTTTCTGTGCTCCATTACCATTCAATACCAATAGGTAAAGTACTGAACATGCGTTTCAATTTCTTCTCTTTTGTAACGTTACCACTTTTTTTTTTAACAGATCAGCATTTGTATTTGCACGTTTTAATGACTGTCATATATAGGTCTGTGAGGTCTAAGACCATGAAACCTTGTCACGTCATGATCAGGGAAAGGCGTCTCACAAACCCAAAGTATAAAACATTATGGCATCATTTTAAAATTTTACTACTATAGATAATTAAATGTGTCGGGATCATTTTTTGCACCTTTTGAGGTCTAAAACCATCATACCAACTTTTAAAATTTCTTTTTTTCAATTAAAAATAATTCTCGAGAGAGAGAGAGAGAGAGAGAGACGTCATTCAATTACATACTATTTCCAGGTCAGCGTGGTGGAAGCTGCAAAAATGTGGAAAAAGCATCTAGTTTGTAGTTTATTTCAAAAAGAAACTTTCACATAAATTGAAACAATTTTTTAAATAAATATAAATATTAAAAAAAAATATTCTATGTTATTGGCAACAATATTTCAGTTTTCAACAAAAATGGAAAATTATTTACAATAGCAAACACATTTTCTGCATCATCACATGATCACAGATTTTGATAATAAAGCACTTTAAAAAGTTTTTTTAAGACATTGAGTGAATATTCATATGTAATTTCAGTTCGTAGGCATTTGACACACATTTTCCGCAGACTGAGCACGCGTACACTTTGTCTTTAGAATGTGTTCTTCGCACGTGACTGTCATGTGCTGCATGTGAGGCAAAGGCCTTCCCACAATGTCTACACTGGAAAACAAAAGGAAGTTTTGAAAGTAAAATTTTTGTTAAAAATCATTTCGATTTCTAGCATTATTTATTTTTAAATCAATGTAGTATAACGATTTCAAGAAAAATATTTTGATATTATCTACATTCTGACAATAATATTAGCTGATTTAAACATTTTTGAGAGCTTTTTTTACTACTAAAAAAAAGAGTACAATACCTCAGTCTGAAAATTAACTCGTTCGTATTCCTCTTTAACATGTATTACCTTAAATGGTTTCTCTCCGGAATGTTGCCTGATGTGTGTTCGAAGGATGCTGGAAGCAGTGAAAGCTTTATTGCAATAGACACATTTATAAGGTCTCTCGCCACTGTGTACCTGTTACAAGAGACCATAGAGTGGGTTACATAAAGATAGTAAGTGGAAGTTTTAACCATTGGCAATCTTACAGCAATATCATACAGTACAAAATTTCGTTGACTGCATACATGAAATAATTCCATTAATAGAGTATCAATCTTCAATTAAGTTTGAATTTTATTGTGATTATTCAATTACATGCAACTTTCAATAGCTTAACATCGGTCATGGTAACATATTGGTGGGGCGTTCGTTTCATGATCGAAAGGCCCGGGTTCGATTCTCGTTTGCCTCGCCTCGCTCGAATGAGACGTCAAACATAATGTACAATCAACCAATGGCTTAACGTTACTGATTTAAAAAGTTATGTGGTATAAATTATAAAAAAAGATTTTTTATTAAGTGAATAATTTCTACATCAGACTTTTATTAGACCTCATAACACATAAGAATTTTAAATCAAATGTTTTCTTGTCTGTGTTTTTTGAAAATAAAAAGGATGGGGACCAAGATATAAGTATGGAAGCAAAGACAATATTTTACATCTTTGTGCCATTTTTCTTTATTCATGTTTTTGTTTTTAAATTACAAAGGAACCATTAAATGAAGAAGTCAATCGGTCCATTAACAGGTACAGTGTACAGTGAATCCATATAAAGATAATAAAAGAAGTCAGGGGGTACAGGAACCACCCTCAAAAAGAACTACAGGAAGAAGAAAAATTTATTAAGGAAGTTTTAATAGCTGTTGAATACGGGATGGACATAATCTTAACAAAGAAGCAATAAGGTGCTTGGTACGTGAGGAAACCATTTGTCGTGAACGGGAAGGGGTTCTACTACCGTGTGTCCTTTCCTTAGCCCTTAATTAAAAATACATACTGTGGTTTGAATGAATACTATTCTTAAAGAAAACCTTTTTAAAAAATAGAAAGTTTTTACTAAAATTGATTCACGGTATGCAAAGTTACACCTGAGGTGAAATACGTCAAGAGCGTGACAAACTATTTTTAATTTCGCCAAAAATATTAATCTTCTGTGAAATTTCTTTTTGTTAATGAATATTTTTTTCAGAAATTATTTTTCTAAGATTAACCTTCATTTGTAAATATGGTAAAAAGTAAACCTTCCCATATTGTATATTTAAGCTATTTTTCTCAAGTATTTCTACATTTTATCATCAAAGATTAATATAGCCTGTACCTGTAAGTGAAATTCTTAACTTTTTTTTAATATGAAAAATATTTGATTTTTAGGAGGTTTTCTTTTTCACATTTTTAATTTTTTTTTTGTTTTGTTTTGTTTTGTTTTAAATTTACAGAATCTTTAAACAAAACTTTGAATTCGAAAATTATATTGATAAGTATATCCTAAATTTAGAAAAATACTTTTAAAATTTCTTACTGCAAATGATCATCTGCCAGTAGAAACTGGAAGATGGTAGGTATACCACTTTGCGAAAGACTTTGTGAACTTTGTACAGTAATAATGCTCGAATTGTTGATGAATATCATTATATCATAGAATATGAAAAGCTTTAGTTTACATGTATGTAAGAAAAAATTACCAGGGCAATTATTAACCTCACAGACCGAATGTTTTTAAATTTAAGGAACTAATGTCAACTCAATCTTGAAAAAAAAATCTATGAATGTTTATCCTAAGAAAATGTGATACTGTCTGCCCTTTCTGATATATTTCATCCTTTCTTCTTTTTTTTTAAACTCATTTTCTGTCATGTTTTATATTGTATATGTACATCTGACCAGTTTGTATAAAATTTATTATGTTATTAATGGACGACACGTACTAATATTGTGGTTTGGTTGAATCTATTGAATTTGAACTTGCTAAATATTGTATATGTATTTAAAGCATTTTGATTTTATGCTATATTGATTTTGCCAAAATAGATATTGTAAAAATTCTAACATTTTCAAATTTAATGAACAATATAGAAATACAAAACGTTGTTAAAATTTAGGCCATCTTTAAAAAGAAATTTGTTTTCCCTCTTCCAACTCAGAGTAAAAAAAAAATTGGGTCCGTAGATAGTAAAAAAGAAAAAAAAAATTCCAGCCAAAAATTTAAAATCAATTTTTTTTTAATTTATAGATATTGAAGATATTGATACAATCCCAATAATTGTTGACGGGATGAGAAAGTTCCGGAATGAATAAAAAAAATTATTTCCTATGATTCAAAAAGTTTTGAGGCGGGTCATTTTTAGTCAGTCGATTTTTTTTTTTAAACACTTAGTCTTATCAGGAAAACTTTCAATATTGCCTGCCCTTCTTGAATCTTCTATAACTGATTTTATGTTAACTTTTCTCTTTTTTCTTGAAATACTTGTCCGTTTTTAGACCCTTGACTGTTATTTTGTGTTTATATGTACCTTTTGTACCATTGATGGGCTCCTAAATTTGGCTTTAGTTTATTTTCAGTTTACGGTCTAGGGGCTTTGGTTTTGAGAGAATAAAGATGTCTTGAGTTTACCTTTGTTAATTTAGTTTATTGATTCTTAATCTATGGTGTTAATACGTACTCTCATGTGTTTGTTAAGGCTAGAGGATTGGCTAAAACTTTTGCCACACACTATACATTTGTGAGGTCTGTGCTTTTCATGAACATGTAGAATATGAATTCGTAGTCGATCTTTCTTTTCAAATGATCTGAAAAAAAAGAAAAACGCTGCAATGAGATCATCCAAGATAAATGTATGTATGTCCTCTTGCATCTCAAACGATGTTCTCTTTTCTTTCTTTCTTTCTTTTTTTTTCTTTTTTTTTTTTTTTTTGACAATTAAACTTAAATTGAAAAAAAATTCTAAGTATCGATTTAAAAAATATATTTTTAACTCTGGAAAAAGTGTTTATACTTCACTTAGGTAGTCACCTCACCTGTTATATTTCTTCAGGTAAGAACAAAATTGACATGAAATATCAAAAATGATATAATTCAACATACCTGCTACAAAGGTGACAAGGGAATTTGCGATCTCCTTGGTCTACACATCGTGTATATTTCAGATGCTTGTCGCGGTAATATTTATAAGCAAACACTTTGCCGCACCTTTCACACTGGTAACCCTCGCCGGTTGCTGGAACAATTAGAAAATATTCATTTTTAATTTTTTTTTTTTTAATTCCTTAAACACGTATTTATATGTATGCTTGCACAATAAAATTTTAACACATTTTTTTTAATATATAGTCGATCTACATGTAATCATAGGATATAAAATCAATTTGTGACAAAGTAGCGATCGATAACTGATAATGCAGAGGTCTGTAGGAAGCATTTTCAGTTTGGGGAGACCAGCCAATGTACAATCTACAATGTATTTGATTTGAATTTTCAAGAAAATTTCTCACTTTAATCTTTGCTTAAAATTTGTTCGTTGCTTAATATATGCATGATTACATGCTAAATGCGGCGCTTCATATTTCGAAACTCCCCAGTCAAAGAAGGATAAATTCTTTGGTAACCGACTCCATCAATGAAAACATTTAATTCTGAACACAATGTTCTACTTTTTTTGCAAGTTACTTTTTTTTTATATTACGTCCACTATATTCTAATTCATAATTAAACTCTTCCTAATGAACATGTACATACAAATATTTCTTTTTTCTTTGGTTAAGCGTGGGAAATTGGTTTGCAAACATACTAGTAGCTCAACAGTCATTGACGTTTGGAGACATGGAATTACATGTATGTTTAATTTGAATATTCTTACTCTCCGATTCTTCTTGTGCGCCGCCGTCCGCCATTTCTTTTAAGGACACAGGAACGCCCATAAACTGAAGGTAACAGTCTCCGTACCAAACAAGAAGCTCTGTACCGTTCGGGATGTCTTTGCAAGCTTCGTAGTAAATATCACCCTCGATCTGGATTGCTGTCATGTTTTGTTCTTGGGCATACCGAGCACAATTTACGAAGGACATCCACCCACCCGCATTTCCTCGACCATCAATAAAGTGACTGAGTTTACCCTCTTGGAATATCTTTGAAATATAATGTTGTCATGACTTAGATACATAAATAATATAAAAACAGCAACAAGTAATCTTTTTTTTTTTTGGGGGGGGGGGGGGGGAGCTATCAAGGAAAAAAGTACCTGTACGTAAATATTAGCAGTGTTTTCCTCGATAAGAACAAACCACTATAAAACACTAGAGTCGATAAGAGAAGAGTTTATTCAAGTCATTAAAAGAAGTATCAGATAACGATGATAAAATTGTGTGTTTTTAAGGTATTCAATGTATAAAGAAGGGATTTTGAACAATTTTGAATCGTTTTAAACTAGTTAAAAATACATTGCTAGATAACGATGAAAGTGAAATGAGCCAAATTCACATGACTGATAACAAATAAGAAGCTGATCATTTTGCACCTGAAAAGTTTTTGAAGAGTTATCTGCCCTTCATGAAAAGAAGAAAATTTTAATTTTGTCAAAATATCTGTGGTAAATGATTCATTTTATTTCATATTTTAATAAAAAGAGAGTCTATGCATATTTTCACCAAGAGATTTGTATGAAATTCACTTTACTTTTTACAATATCTTAATAAAACATGCGCTGCCCATAGACGTCAATGTAAAATTTAAGGTGCAATTAATTGGACAGTAATTAAAATTTTGTAAATTCCTTTGGTGGGGTATGTTTATTTCATAACACCTTCAAAATGTTACCATGATTAAACATTTCGGACCATTCATTTATTATAGGTACAAAAAATGGTCCTTATACATTGAATACCTTAAGTGACCAATAAAAGGACCAATTAATTTCGATATCACTGCATGCAGCAGTCGACCATCACTGCTCATTCTAAATCTGGTTAAAACTATACACATTGTGTTATACACTGTTTACAATGCTTTGTCTTTTATAAATAGTTTTCGTTTCACGTATTTTCCCTTCGAGTTATTTCCCTTGGTCGCCATCTTGGAGGTCAAACTACATTCCATTTTATTCGCTTAAGGTGTAAAAAATAGATATATTTTTACACCCCAAGTTTTTTGTAAGTCGGATTAAGGTCTGTGGGTCCAACTAGTGAGTTTTCCTCTTTGAGCAACCAATTTTAAACATGTATGGCAGAAATATATGGACAAAAATCTTTAAAATACTAAAAAATTATGAATTAAAGGAAGCTTTTGTAAACATATATTCGTAAGAAAAAAAAAACTGTGTTATCGGCACCTCATTTCCCAGTATACGTTTGGTTGGTTGAATGATGAAGGAATCAGAGTTACATGTAACCTCCAATATGGCGACCAACGGGCAATTACTCTCGCTAAAATCGCGTCTATCGAAAAATATCTATTAAGAACTATGCACTGTAGCTCGGAATTTTCGCCCACAATATTTCGCATGCATGCGTAATTCATAACGTTTGGCAATTTTGCTATTGATTTTTTTTTTTTACGTCGGATGTAAAAATATTGATGAGGATGATGATTTTGACAATTTTGCAGTCTGAAATTAAAAATGACATTCTTTTCGGTCATTCGTACAACTTAACACTTAAAATACAGCGGGATTAATCAAGACGCAAATATTGCCACACATGGTGTGATCAACTGCAAAAGAGAAGTAGACAATTTAAGGAACACTGTTTGTCAAAAGATTATTATCATCCTGAATTGTCAACACGTTCTTTTACCGTCAATTGCACGAATGTCTATAAATGTCTCTTTAACCACTTGAAATTTGGTAATCGGGCTCGTGATAACTTGAAGTCATTCATTGTATGCAAACATCCCGACCCCAATCCAAATACGGAGTTGTCATACGAACAATTCGCGAATAAATGGTGTGTGCAGTATCGAATTAAAATATTTATTTTGACGATTCTTTACTTGGTTACACTTAATTCAAGCTCTCGAGGCCTGCTTACAAAATGTGAGATTTAGAGCCGCGTGTGTCCTGCTTTAAACAGACTATGGTAGATCTTACTTCAGATTTCCATTCTGTACTGTAAACAGTAATGCAGTGTAAGCAAACAGCCAGCGAAAATTGCTGGTTTCCATCAAGTACTTGTGTAAAATAGACAGATAATATGTCAATACTGCAGGTGTTGTAAGTTATATTCGTTTAAGCTGGGTCTTTTGTATTTCATATCACAGAAGGAAGTGTCCACAGTACCAAGCAAGGTATCGTCTTTCTTATATTTAAACTGATGTCCTAACAGACAGGTTGTATGGCTTATTTGGTCACGTATGCACAAATGCAGACAGTTATGGAAGAAAAAGGAAAGTTATGGAAGAAAACGAAATTCAACAGTTGTTGTTAAAATTTATGTCCAGGGAAAGGGCATAGAAAACAGAAATATATAAAGCTGTGGTAATTAATATATTTAATATCTACTTTACAAAATAAGCCAAGCGGAATATTAATTTTCACATTTCCTTAGATATATTTTTAGGCTAATGATTGTAATGGAGGTTGTAAGAAATTTTAATTATTTTCTGAAAATTTCAAATTAAATAAGAATTTAAATACATATATTGAAATAAATTACATATGTGTGTAATGAGCCTGTCTAGCAATTTTACACTAGCAATTTATATAACGCAGAGATTAAGCATTCTTACCTCCCACATTAAAGAGTTGTCGTCATTTGTTTTAATCTCGCTTGTATTTACAATTTTGCCTTTAAACGGGCCAAACCGGGTACCTCGGCTGAGAACAGTCTTCGTGCAGAAAACTCCATAGTGGTGTAGGCCTGCGTGTGTCGTATGGAAAAGCGCCAGGCCTGGGTTTGAAAAAAAATTCATTTAATTATAAATCATTTCATTGAATTAATGTGTTCTTCTTTATTTTGCAAGTTACGGGGAAACCAATGAATATGTTTACACTTCAGAAATTTGAATTTAAAATATTAAGTTAAAAAAACAACTTTTTGTTAAATTCTCACCTTCCGGAATTCCTATTCCACTTGCATCAACTAGATTTCTACACACCTGGAATTTTCCTTTGTCGCTCATAGATTTCTTATCAGGAGAAATTCCTTCCCGAGATAAAATCTTATCAATGCCTAAAAAATTAAGAAAAAATACTATATATAGGGCTATCTTAAAAAAATGTGTTTGCCCTCTCCTGACCGACTGGCTAAAAACGGTCCGACTCAAAACTTTTTTAAAATCTCCAGGAAACAATTTCTTTTATCAGTCATTCCAAAAAATTGGTTATGAAAAATTCAGTATTGTTGTTGAAATTTTCTGGAGAAAAAAAAATTCTCACCTATCTACCGACCCAATTTCCTTCATCCTGAGTCAGGAGAGGGCAAGCAAACTTTATTTTAAAGTTAGTCTATTTTTTAATCATGTGAATAAGTTTTTTAAGGGCTTGTTTTAAATGATAAATCTAAATGATTTTTTTAGTACTCATATAGATAAAATCTTTAATTTTTTTCTCGAATCATCATCAGAACCTTTAACTCTGATGACATTGGGGGCACCTGTGGAAATTTATTTTCATAATTATTTTGCAAACAAAGCACATGAAAGACTTCACATAAATAATACATCTTATGAATGTTTCGTTTTGCTATCTTTTTCTTTAAAGTACAGTAAAATATCTTTTCTAAACGATGAATGAGTAATTCAAAAGGATCATTAATTCTCCTTTTTTACTATAAATATATACATTTAGTTGTTTGTCCATGTAATATTCATGTCAAGTTCTTTGATATGGTTGAGGGATTCGGTTTTAATTTTACAGTGGGACAGATGTCCCCAGCAGATCTATAGTAAAGAGGAAGGGCACGAGACAGCGACGACGTACCGACTAATTTATTTATTTGCCTCTGTTACATGTCGGTTAGTGTGTTAACCACAAATAATTTTAAAAACAACTGAAAGTCAGTTATCTAAGAAATAAAGACGCATTTTGATTGAAAACTCCCTATTCTATATGCTTGCAGAGAGAGAGAGAGAGAGAGAGATGCGTATTAAATTTTCTTTCTTTGATTAATCAGTTTTTCTGGGCGTTTATATATAAAACCTTCCACTTGATATTTGCAAGACCCTTTTGATTAAGTTACCATAAAAACTGCGGGTTTTTCTAGCGGTGAATGTCATTTACATGAAATCCAATTTTTGTTCGAATAATTATTAAAGCTGATCTTTAGGGAGGGTGATGTGCTTCAGATTGTCGGTATGTTTGAACTTCTGGGAAGTTATGAAGTGATCTTACATATTAATAGGATATCGTAAATTAAATCTCGTCGTCCTCGGCAGAGTGGATAGAAAATGATCAAATTCGACCAAGACGCGCATGTGCTAAATTTCGCCGCTTGCACCCTCTCAAGTGTCCGCTTTTACATCTTTATTTGGGCAAGTGTAAACACGCTCTCCATTGAAGATCCGAGTTAGTGCCATGAGGGAAAAAATTGATTCCTAATGAAATCCCGCGAGAGTTTGCAATTGTCGTGCGATTGTTGTCTGATTAGCAAACTCGTTTGATTTAATTCGATACCGTAACGAAGTCAGGAATTCCGTTACACAACCATTCTTTTCTTTAGATAGTTTTCTGTAGTATTCTGGTTAAAGAATGATATATCGATGCAATAATCTAGCAATGGGCATATTACGATAACTGCAGGATTTTTAAATTTGCTGAGATTAAAATTAATTGAATGAAAATAGAAACCGGATTCTATATACATGAATGCATTTTAGGGATTCTTGGGGCATATCAAATTGAAAGAATTAAAAGATTTTACATGTTTCTTGTTTGTATTTTTTAATTAATAACACGAATAATGCATGTAATCTACAGAACTTAAAATACTTTCGTCAATAATCTGTCTATCAGGGGGTCGAACTTTAATAAGAATAACATGCCATATATTACCCCGAACAATGGAAAGATACGGCTAAAAGAAGTCTAAATTGAAGGAAATAAATACCCAGTCTAAATATTGCTATACTGAAAATGAAATCAAAACACGCTATTGAATGACACGCGTCCTTTGGCAAAACATTTTTAAGATTGCATCGAGAATAAGTAAAAGCTATGCTTATGCTGACCGTTAATCTCCCCGTATGTAAAAACACTGACTATTTTAATTGGAATGTGTTAAAATTTAGTTAAGGGTCTAATCTTTTGATACTTGTGGTCAACACATCATAGATCACTATTTTATCCAATCACAGCTTTTTGTGACCGCTGTCATAATCCAATCATAAATTAACCACCGGTGATGTTATTTTACGGAATTAACCTGTTGAAATAACAAAACGAATAACACTCTTAGAGGTTAGTGAAAGGTAATAAACTTAACGAAGATAATCCACGAAGTAATGTATTACTTCTTTTGAGCAGAAATCTTTAATAATCCGGCTTAGTTAAATTACAAGTTAATCGTATAACCGAGTTGACGAGGTAGCGATGAATACTGCCTATGACAAACATTTTCCATTGTAAGGATTTACTGTTTTGTTCCAGTGCCCTATTGTCTGCTTATACTACACCACTCAATGAATATTGGGCTTTGAATTAGACTTTAGTTTCGTGTGTTCTTTTTAAAAAAAAATCGGAACCTGCGGCATTCACAATATTTTTTCCTTTCCCTTTTCTTTGCTTTCAATTATTTTGTGATTATTAGTTTGGAATTCAATTTATGAGTTTAAAAATCCGAGACAGCAGCTTGAATACATGAAAAACCTGATTACAAACATGATGTGTCAGACAAAAGTTTTAAGATGTCAATCTTTTTAGTATTATCTTCTATTTTGAAGATTAGAGAAATTAAATTGAATAAACATGTACTGTGCATTTTGTGATACAGATTTTTCTATGATTTAATTGGTAAAGGAAACTTACTTTAATCATTAATAGATACATTGAATATACTGTAGCTTATGAACACATTTGTAAAGCTATATTCATTTTTTCAACATAATTACTTTGGGAAATTTGAATTTACATCGTGATCCCGTCTATTTAAACGAAGTCAAAGGTTTTTTTTAATTTTAATCAGCGGTATCATTAACATTTGTACACTGCTTATGGAAATCGACATGCTTTCTATACAGAGAATACATGTACAAATAAAAAAAGAAAACTATACCGTTTATTTTTCTTTCTTTTTTAACGTTCAATGACATCTATATACAGATGTTCCTTGTTCAAATTTGACAAACATTTTCTTTATGTACAATAGTGCAACTACGTCTTAAAAGATTTGAAAAGATTACGTTATACACTTTTTAAAAACTATTAATTTGAATTAAAAAATAAATTATTTTCTGTGAGAAATAGGAAAAATTCCCACGGAAACCTATAAAAGGATATTAAGTGAAATTAGGACATAAAGATGTATGTGTTTTCTTACCAAACATTTCTGATACACTATCAAAATAGAGCAGCTGTCTAAGTGTATTTATAAGTACTCCCGGTCCGCCACAGGGAAGACTACTTTTCCCATTGTTCTTTTCAGCATCTTTTGAGATATGGACTCTAGTTTCTTTCTCACGAATCCTCGATTTTCTATTGATATTTTATCATTGGTGATGATAGAGATAAATACCACTTTTAATAGTATTTACCTTTGAAGATTGATCGCGCTTTAATATCTCTGAACGCACCACAGGGGGTTTAAGTTAGACATTTGATACACAGATTTTTAAGACTACGGTCAACAGTGGTTACATTATATAATGTTTATACTTCTACGATGCTTGATATTTTGTAAGTTGAGATTTGCTAGTAAGATTTTAAATCTACACATTGCTCTGAATACCTCTTACATGTATTTGCAGTAAATGATCAGGAAATTCACTTTTCTGCAGTTTATTAAACTTTGTTCCATTTTAATTCTTTTTTTTTTTACTTTCCCCAAACATTTATGTGCCTTATATATTTTCATGCAATTTTTGATAGTTATATTAAGTTAAAATATTTTTTTCTTGCATCCGTATAACGATATAACTTATTATTATATGATTAATTTAAAATCCCTGATTAAAAAAGTAATTGCATTTCCAAACAATAAGTAGATTGTGAGCGGAACAAGTATATGTTCATTTGCTTTGAATACCTCTAATTTGCAAGTAAATGATCAGGAAATTCACTTTTCTGCAGTTTATTAAACTTTGTTCCATTTTAATTCTTTTTTTTTTTTACTTTTTAAAAAAGAAATTGCATTTCCAAACAGTAAGTAGATTGTGAGCGGAACAAGGATATGTTCATTTTGACAAACGTTTAAATTATTCAATTACCTTTGTGTTAGTATGCAATAGAGCCCCTGTTACGAACTTTGGAACCTGTTAAATATCTCTTCAGCATCATCGATGTAGTTTTCTTTTTCAGTTCAAGAATTATTTATTTATTTATTTATTTATTCATATCTTTGTTTATTAATTGTTTATTAGCTTAGTAACTTATTAATTTATTTATTATTTATTCATATATTTTATTTTTTATTTACATGTATTTTTTTTCTTTTCATACATTTACTTGTATATACTTATTTTTGATATTTTAACTCTATCCCCTTCCAAATAATGAAATTGTTGGAAATTTTTTTTTCTAAATGTAATTTTTTTATGTAAAAAAAAATCTTTTTCATTAAAAGTTTCATCGGGAGCTTGAGAAAACTGATGGAATTCCATCAATTCAATACCCACAATAAATTTTACATAGTTAGGTATATAACATTATATATAAAAACTATTGAGTATAACATTCTAAAGTTATGTTGACAAATAGACGATGACAGATGTAATAGAATCTCATTCATTTCAAACTAAAAAGTTATAAATTAAAACAAATATAATTTTTTTTAATTTTTGTAAAGCAGATATGATTTAAAATTGAATAATCCCTGCAATAGAGACACCTGTTTTGAAATTTAACTCACCATGCGATAGGTCTCCGAGCCTTAACCCTGACAGTGCGTGTCCATTACATTTATCATCCCGTGTCTGGGTGTAGCCATAGAGGACACTGTCCACTTCTGCCTGCGAAAAGTTGTAGGTCGGTACCCCAATAGGGGGTGCTAATCGAACTGGGTAGGTAGGGGGCAGCATGGGGGATGGAGCCGTAGACGCAGGGACCGTGGAGTGATGCTGTGGGGCAAGAAACATTGGGGTGGAGAATGGGAATCCATGTCCCCCAACTGTGAACCGCTCCACAGGAATTCTGAAATTATATAAACAGATGCATGTATTTCCAAAAAAAAAAAAAAAAAAAAAAAAAAAAAAAAAAAAAACTTTTTTTAATTTGGATGAAAATAATAATAATAATAAGAAACTTCGTTTTCACGTAAATACATGTATAAGCCAAAACAATTAATGCAATTTGTCATTTGTAAAAATATGAAAAAAAAATTAATGTTTCGATTGAAAAAAGATTAAGATTTTTTTAAAAGCTTGTTAAAATGTACACATTGAAATTCATTATAATTAGAAAAAAATGACTGAAAAAAAACCTTTCTAGACTTACCCATGAAAGTGTGCGTTTGCAAATCTTTGAGTAAAAAATGGAAATATATTGTGTCTTATCTGATCCATTCCTATCACTCTCTCTTCGTTAGTACCCTCTAGTGGACATATACTACAAATGTCTCGGATTCGTTAATTTTTCTTGAAATAGACTGGTCTATGAGCCTGCGCAAATACCAGAAAGACATTCCGAAATCGAAGATGTTTACACACATAATCTTGCTTCGGGTTCGGATTAAGTGGCAGTTAGATCAAATTAAGAACTCATGAACATATTAAAAACAAACAGAGGGGCGGACTTAATACGGACGCGCCTTTGTTCGGTGGTGCAGATTGTAACGCGAGCGTGTTAGAGTCAACACGCCCCAATGGCCCGATTGTACCGCCACACAAAAGCACTCTAACTCCCCATCACAAGATTTTTGTCATGGTATTTAGATAAAAATAGAAGGAATAATGCCCCTTATAATTAGATATCAGTGTCTCGTAGTCTTTTTAAAGGAATCAAAAACAAATATTACGCTCTATATTTTGACGGATTGTTTTCTGTTCAAGTCTGAGTCGGGATATCCTCGATTCTAATGCAAATTGCATTACTTAGAAATGTTTTTTTTTTCCTTCTCACGATTAAAATGTACATTTTTTTTGGGGGGGGGGGGGCATTGAATAAAACTATAGTCTTTTTTTCCAAATGAAATTTAGAAATTTGAAATGAACATTCATTATAAGGATTCGCAGACAATGAAATAATTATAAATAAAATTGTAAATAAATTGACAGCGTCATTTGATTTCTGATTAATTAATTAATTAAAACATTATCTTTTTAAAAAAAGAAATCAGTCTAATTATACATATAATTAGTCAAACCCTGATATTTGCAGGTAGCCTAGATTTTAGCACAGCTGATACCTTAAAAGACCTCTAGTTTTCTGATTTTTTTTTTTTTTTAAAGCAGAGGGCTGACATGTACACAGACGGGCATTGATGGTCTAAAAAGTAAATATCTCTTTTCCTTTTCTTTATTACAAAATGAATTTATAAATTTAATGTAAAGAAATGCCTATGCCTTTCAAAAATTTTTGTCATTTTTATTATAATATAATTATATTAGAAATAAAATATGGCGAATATTTCCTTTTTTAAATTTGCTTATCCAACCAGAATAATTTTTTTTTTTAAAATAATGTTTGAATGGTAATATAACTAGACCTTATGAATATTATACCCATATTTCACAATGTTTCAGAAATCATTTTAACATTTTAAGCAATTAAATATTGCACATTTTAGATTTAAAATGTAAGCAATTTTAAAATACTATCAAGAGAGAGAGAGAGATAAAATCCAAATTGAAATGCAAAACTCAAACTTTAATCCATAGCGCTTTCGCCCCATGCGGGCTCATCAGTTGATTTGAAATATCAAATCTATTGATGAGATATATATGTATATCTGCTTAAATTAATTTTCATATTACATGTATTTAGAGAATAAAGGGATTAAAAGTACAAAAAATTTACCTTTGGACATTACAGGACATTGGTTATCAAAGTGATGTTAAAAAGCCTCTCCTGTCGCGATGAGAGATAGTCTGAACATTAATTTTTAAAATGTTTTTGAAATCTTTAAATAGTACAAACCATCTGCAACAGAACTGGACAACATGAGTCACCTTAAACCGCTGATCAATAAACCAAGCAATCTGTCGACTAAGTATCCTAATATTTACCTATTTAGCATACCTTTCCAGATTGTTTTGTATCCTTTGAAAACTCTAAATAAATACTTCAAAAGGGATCCATCGCTCGCCGCGTTCCGGAGATTTACGGACCCCGGTTCTAACTATTACCGTGTTACCTCTAAAATACATGGTTAGACCACATCGGAAAATGTTATTCTTTAGGATACCAGTTTGCTTTTAGTTTTAATGTAGCTTATGTAATTCTTTGTCAACAAACACTCTACAGATACCCCTTTCGTTTTCCTAACCCATTCGACTGAGATCAGAAAATTTACATGATTTTCTTTGGAGGTCTAAATCTCATATAATTATTTTTAAGGGATAAAACTGAAACAAGTTTTCAGGTCATGTTTATAATTTTTATTTGTTTTTTTTTTTATTATTATTTGGGGGGGGGGGGAGCTGATTGATATTTCTTTATTGAAGAACAATTCAATATACAAATCATTGATAGTCATGCACATGTTCACATATCACCCAGAACAATAATTAATGCTTGAGGTTGTAACGAGTTTCAGGAATGCTAAGAAAGTAAATTTTAGTCAAAGTCGCCATTTTGTACGTGACGACAGAAATAATACCCATATTTTGCTGCAAAATCAGAGGAGTTCTCGTACATGTACCTATCAATTTTACCAAAAATTTCAGTAAATATAACAAATAAGTAATACCTATAATAATAATGTTATTATTATAGGTATAACGTATTTTTTTATTTACAAAAAATTTTTGGTAAAATTGATAGGTATGCGAACTCCTGTGCTGTAAATCGTCGGTTTTACTGTCAGGTATAATTGATGGATCCGGGTATGTCTGTCCGACTTTTCTTTCCAAATGCTTTGCTGCTAACCCTCCCCCCTCCCTTTTCCCCGTTGTAAGCCCCAGGACTATTTTACTTTTTTATGGTAATTGATTTTGTAAGACATTATGTTTAATGTATTCCATGTGAAAATCCTGGAGAAATCCTTCAACGATCATTGCACTAAAAATATGCACCTAATACATGCATGCATACACACACACACACACCCTCACACACACACACACACACACACACATATATATATATATATATATATATATATATATATATATATATATATATATATATATATATATATATATATATATATATTAACCTGTGGTATACATTATATATCTTCATATCTTCTGTTCTCTACAAATTTAGCATTTTTTCAGTTTAAAGTTCTATAAGACGATTAATTGTCATGTACAAATTTAAATTTAACAAATTCTAAATCTTGTAGAGGACATTTTTATAGAATGATCGTTTTATGAATTTTCCATACCTTTCTTTTACATGAAATACATTCAAAATATGTCCTGAAAATAACCGATGAAAAATTCTAACAGTCCTAAGATGTGTGGATTGCAGATGGGGAGGGGGGGTGCAAGAATTTTCTTTTCTTCTGTAGTACAAACAACCTCATTTTTTGTAATGAGGCTGTTAATAATGTTCGGGAAAATAATGAAAAAAATACACGTTTTAATCAAAAAAGTTTTAAAGGAAAACATAAAGACATGTAAAACTAAAAATAGAAATACTAGTGATAAATAGATAACAGAATGATTGAAAAAAAAAACAAACTTGTATTTCTATGCATTATACACGATACAATCATTTTTTCAGTGATTAAAACATAATTTTGAAACTGAAAATGAGATATTTCAACTATTAATCTTTTAGAAGGACTTCTTTAAGAGCACTGAGAAAACCTCTAATCTCTCGCTGACGATCTTCCTGTTTCGGTGGAGGTGGACATCCTGGGGGTCCAGTGGGGGAGGTGGCTTACTAGGATCCAACTCTTCTGGTGGCGGACATTTTGGTGGTGGTGGATCCTGTCGTTGCTCTTTTGGTGGAGGTGGGCATCCTGGGGGAGGTGGCTTACTAGGATCCAACTCTTCTGGTGGCGGACAGTTTGGTGGCGGATTTTGTCGTTGCTCTTTTGGTGGAGGTGGGCATCCTGGGGGAGGCGGCTTGTTAGGATCCAAATCTTCGGGTGACGGACAGTTTGGTGGCGGTGGTGATGATTTTTCTTGGCTCTGGCCCCGTTGTTGCTGCTGCCTTGGCGGAGGGTCGTCCGCTGAGGGGCATTTTACATTGCCTTGCCTGTCTTGTGATTGTCCCTGAAAAATATCTTTAAATGCAATTTCAAATTGTATTAATTTCATGTCTAGAGAATGTTTTTTTCAAAACCAAAAGGAAAAATAATGCCAAACACTCGTACCTGCACGTGCATACTGATGCTGATTAGATGGATTTCATTATTTTGAACAATACCTTCAAATATTTCAGACGAACAGAATTTGAATTTGTTACTGAACAATTTTAAATATAATTCGTAGAGATGTCTCAAAAACTTCTTCTCGAAAACATCCCCTCCTCTATCTACGAACACACACACACACACACCCTCACACACACCCTCACACACAGAAACACACACAAAAAAGGAAAGAAAAAAAATTCAAAATAATCAAAACTAAAATATTCAAAATCCAAAAAAAAAAATCCTTTCTTTAAAGAATCTTTATAAAGAGTAAAGTTGGAGTTACGTTCTCATGGAGATCGATTTTACTGAGTTGTGTGTTATAAAAATGCAGAGGATTTCATTTTTTTTAAATTAAATTAAAGGTATACTTCTCAAAAGTTTGTCAAAATGCTTAATATAATGATGATAATAATAATTTATTTCTGGAAGATAACCCGATTAGTGTAAGTCACTGGTCTTGAATCCTCGGGGCCTTCCTTAAAACATATTTACACTGTACATATAATAAACACATATTACATATATGAATCAATAGAATATAAACTCAAAACAACAAATTCATCAGAACATTGTAATTGGAATTTCCTAAAATTCTCAACAGAATTACAGTAAAACAGCAGAATAATATCGATAAATTTACCATTATGATAGAACATTGGAATTCCATTAAAAAAAAGCTAGCATAATCAATTTCTCTAGAACTAAATACATGTAAATGATATTATCCCTGGCATACAGAATAATATTTTACTAAATTGACATAAAAACGACTTTTCGAAAAAATGTACTTCCGTTCTTTCAAACGAATCCTGCTTGTCAGCAAGCTCATTAAGTCTTAAGATCTGGCCAGTTTTACAAGAGAACTTACGACTAAGCTAAAATACCAGTAAGTTTGAAGATTATCATAAAGTAGCCGCCCCCACCCTCCCCTCTCTCGGCAGAAAGATGAGGCTTTTTTGTATTATTACAAGGAATAGATTTTCTTTTTTTTTTATTACATGCAAATTGCTCTGACGTTCAATATAAAATATATAATGATATAAGAAAATAAATTTATTTGCAGTTGACAAACCTGTGAGTCTTTCTCAGATCTCAGATGAAATTAAAGTGAAAGGATCTCGCCGAAACCACGGAAACTCCCAGCAATAGAATTAACACCCATCCTTTCATCTTGTCTTGATCTGATGGCTAACTATATGCTGATCTTTGCTGCTTTTATATAACTGATGAATTTAATTATTAAGAGTTCGACTAGTGCGAGAAATAAAATCATCTATCACCTACTGATTTCAAAATTACTTCATAAGCCTATTAAGAAAAAATTGAATGTATATTGCTGGCTTAAAGTTAATTCTTAAATACGTGTATTTCTGGAGAAGTTTGGTATTTAAAAACCTGCTGAAAAGAATAAAATTGAAAAGATTCACATTTGTGATTTCGTCTTTGCGACGATGCAAAATTTGCAGTCCAGATGACAAGCATAAAAAGGGGGAATGGGTGGAAGAAAGCGTGTTCGTTGCAAGGCGTCAAAATTTATATATAAGGGGTTTGAATGTCATTAGCATGATATTCAGAGGGAGTGAAAAGCATAGCTAGTAAACAGACAAGATCAACGCTAATCTTGTAAAAGCCAGAATCTAATTCTATTTTGTAAAGGATTAAATCTATATCTATGGAATATAAGAAATATATCCCTTTATGACAACTGTGTGACATTAAATGGGGCTTTCATTTCTGTTAGGCGGGATGCGTGAGAAAAGATTTACCTAGTATCGTCCGAAAAAAAAAGTATGGAAAACAATTTCCTCCACACATTAGAAACATATCGTCTGTAGGAAGAGTCGGAATACTTCTATAGGAAGAAAATGTCACAAAGTGGCTCATTAAAAAAAAAAACAAAAAAAAACGTAACAATATCGCTCATCATCATATCATTTCTGAGAAAATCAAAATCAACATATTTTCACATGTAAAAACATTTATTCTGTTGATGTGTACATTTTCATTTTATCTGATCAAATTTTAAAATCAACATTGTAACATCAAAAACATAGCGTCATGACAGTTTCTTAAATGTACTACGCTATATATTTCTCATATGGTCATCTGAAGCGCCTTGTCCACTCATTAAAAACGTTTCTTTACCACTTGCTTCCTAACAATTGAGTAGCGGAAGTTAGTCAGTATTTTCAATTTCTTTATCGCGTACCTCTGCTTTCAAAAGAAGCACTCATCACCCCCCCCCCCCCCCCCCCCCCGAAAAAAAGAAGGAACACTCATCACTTTCAAAAAATAATAATAAAAAAATAAATAAATAAAAAAGAAACGCTCATCAATTTCCATATTTATACTTGACCACATTGTTACTGATAATCCGTTTCTTCACAGGTCGTTGATTGATCGGTTAGAAGTCTCACACTAAAAAAAATGTCTTTGATTATTACACCCATTAACAGTTTATCTCATATTTCCCTATCAAGTTCAAGTTCTTTATTTCTTTGCGTCATACGACACATCAGATTACATATATAAACATATATACAATATTGTAAAATATAACAATATGAGAGTGAGCATAATCAATAAATAGCAAGTAAACTATGTAGGACGTGTTTTCTAACAGGCAACTGTATTTATAAAACACTAAAAATTTACAAATGTTTCATTCTTCTAATGGAAGCTTGATATAAATATTTTCCAAGGTTACAAAGTTCCTTTATATTTTGTACACTTAGAAGTTGAATTAATTTCCAAACACTGGATTTCTTATAATAATACTTTTTCAAATACTTAGATCTAAGGTCATGATAAAAAGGACATTGTAAAATAAAATGAAATTCGTCTTCGATAACATTCAAAGAGCACATTTTACCTATAGCACCACTTATTATGTAGAATTCTAATATCAAAAGAATGTTCACGATATCAGAGTTTTTTTTTCTTTGATTTTCAATTGTTTTTTTTTTTTTTTTCTGATTTTGATTAAATGTTTCATTTCGTTTCTAGATATCAGAGGTTTTTTTTTCTTTAGTGATTTTCAATTATTTTTTTTTCTTCTGATTTTGATTAATTCTTTCATTTCTTTTCTAATCAATAAAATTACAGAAGTCACAGAGTCAGGTGATGGATATCTTATTCAGACATGTACATGTAAACATGTAAAGAAAATGACAATTCTTCATTAAATTCATTATTATTATTTTTATTAGAAAAACATAGTTTTCTCAAAAAAAAAAAAAAAAAAAAAAAAAAAAAAAAAAAAAAAAAAAAAACTAATGCACTCTCCTTCTTAATAAGCATTTCAATAATTAGGAAAATCAGTTAAAAATATATAAGAAATATATGCCAACGAGTAAAAAGTGACAAATTGAATGAAATATGTTTTAACGAAATGAAAATTCCAATTTAAAAAAAAACAGCAAGATTTGTAACAGTTGTGAAACACTGATGCCCATGTATGACAGCTCCAGACCAATCTTAAAGTTTTCAAATGAAGGCCAAACTCCAAGGTCAAGGTCGAGAATTAAAAAAAAAAATGTTGGTACATGTACCCAAAGAAAGATCTTGTCACAAGTGAAATATGAAAGCCTTAGCACCAACATTCAGAAATTATTACGATGGTTAACTTTTTTCAAAAGTAGTCCATATTCCATGGTTTAGGTTATGAGGTCAAAAATACTGGAACCAAAGGAAAGGTATTGTAACAAGAAATACATAAACTGTGAAAAATGAAAGCCCTAGTACCAACCACGTAAAAAAAGCGTAAACTGTTCCAACCCACTTCATACCGTATAAATTGGGTAGCTATTAATTTCATTCCTTATAATTTAATTTTCATTCATTAAGTATAAGAAAAAAGATGATTGCCCTTAAAAAATTACTTCAAATCGTACAACATTTAAATGTAACGTCGGACGGATCGACACGTTTTTGACGCAAGTCATTGTGACGTAGGCAACCCAATTCATACAATATAAAGTAAATTTTTTATCCAATCAAATACTGCGTTATAACCAGAATTAAATTAATTCAAAATTAATATTTTTACTTTAAAATGAAAATAATTGCATACCTGAATTCAGCCAATCGGGTAACACTCTATACTACTTCCCGTAACAAACAATTGATGTAAACATCCGGGGGCTTTAATACTCCATGACATTGTTTATTACTCCTCGAATTTCCTCCATTGGTATATACCATCAATGGTAGATCTCAATGCGTTCGCTATGGCATTGATTATAACTTGTGTAAGAAGATCTGGCTGTCCTTCTCATAGGTCTCTGCTTAAAATCAATTCACTTTCTTTTAAGATGAATCCACTACTTTGTTTTCAATGTTTATGTGATCGCACGTTAGTCTTTTTAGCTCACCTGAGCTGAAAGCTCAAGTGACCTTTCTGATCACTTTTTTGTGTGTAGTCTGTCTGTCTGTCCGTTCGTCCGTCCGTCTGTAAACTTTTCACATTTTCGACTTCTTTTCCAGAACCACTGGGCCAATTTCAACCAAACTTGCCACAAAGCATCCTTGGGCACAAGGGATATAAGTTTTCAAAAGAAGGGCCACGCTCTCTTTTAAGAGGAGATAGTTCAGAAATAGTGAAATTTTGGTAGTATCTTTTAAAAAATCTTCTGCTCAAGAACAACTGGGCCAAAAAAGTTGAAACTTATGTGTCAGCCTCTTTACATACTGTCAATTCAAGTTTGTTCAAATGATGATCCCCTGGGGCCACAGTGAGGGATCAAAGTTTTACATAGGAATCTTTAGGAAAAATCTTTAAAAATCTTGTGCTCAAAATCAGCATAGCCATGAATAGTCATATTAATATGGAAACATCAATAGAAGTGTAGTAATGTATAGGAAAAAATCTTTAATTTTTTTTTTTTTAAGGAGGTTGGGGGGTCAACAAATTAACCACAAATTAACCACCAGATTTAACTTAATTTTCTGGATATGATATCTTAAGC